GCGACGAATTGTCGCCATTTACCCACAGCTGAATTTGGCGTCAATCAATATGAACAAGACGGACAAGCTAATCGCAAGCCAAATGACGATTTTCTCCTTGTAGCTACAAGTTGAAGTAATCTGCCCTTCCTAGAACCCGTACCCATGTGTACGGGTTCCAGGAAAGGAAGAAAGAAAGGATAAAGAGCGACTTACAGGAGATCAGGCCGATGGAGCTGGAAGCGGGGCTCGTGGCGACGGCTGAAGGTTGGTGTTCTTAGGTTGCCGGCCGGGAGGTCAGGGATCAAGCGCACAGAATTACTTGTTCTCTTCGACAACCGGGCTCTCCTGGAAGCTGAGACGCTCAGGGGGATGGGTCGTTTGGCTACCTCACATGAAACGACCTCCTTCCCTCGAGTAGGCCAGAACAAACGAAGTAAACGGACGAGTATGCAGGAAACTGAGACTGAGGCCGCAGATTGGGCACTGCTGGTCGACGCAGGCAGTGAAAGTGCTGTCCTTGCCGCTAATAACGTCATTGAAGGTGGTAGTGACCAACAACATGAACTATTAATTTTTTTGCGTAGCAGCTGGTCAACGCTGCTATACCTCACCTTACCTCCTATGTAACGCAGCACTAACGGTTAGGGCAATAGGTCCTGTTACACAACGTTCACTAGAGCTCGCATGCATTTTAATTATATGTAGCAATACCCCCCAAATATTCTACTATAGAAGATCGAAATACATACTTAACTGGTTTAAATCTATGTACCGATCGTATAAGCACATCAAAGATGGATTCGTTTCTGTGCCATGAGTATCAGCTACGTCCGCAACCAGTTATGCTATTGTCACATTTATAAAAATGACTATAAAAGGGCGTACAAAGGGCCGTCATAGTGGAACCGGTAGGGGAAAAAAGGGGAAAGGAACTCTGTTTGGATATGGCAAAATTACCGAGGACATACGTCGAGTGCCGGACTGATTGTACGATAATGACAATAGCGGTAAAGGTTTATTTTAACGCACCAGATTACAGCTGTAGGGATGGCAATTTGGCAAAAGCAAATTCACTTCTGGTGTTGGCTAGGGACCCGGTGCGACCATGTTTAGAAGCTAGGCCAGCTCTCGGCCTAACGTTTCGAATAGAGATCAGTTTGTTTAAATTAGACACAAAAATGAATGCGAGTAATTTAGTGGGCTTGACAGCGTGGATGTTGGGGTCTGCTTCAGTACTGTATCAGCGGAATTGGCTGGTTGGATGGAACACGGTGGCGGGTCTCGATGCCCCGTAATAAATAGACAGTGAAGACTTGTGAGGGACGAGGCTGGCAGGCGAGATCCACTAGAAAAGCATATTATCAATTTAGCCGGATACTTCCAGCCAGCGACATTCAATGCACGGATCGATAACATCTTAACGAGCGCTCACAGCGGCACCAACAACGGCAATAGCAGTAGCAATAACGATTTTGGCATTCCACTCAAATCGCGTTTATTTTTCCATTCATTCGCATTAACATTTGAAAAACATCAAAGTTATGACTGGAACCTTAGCTTAACTCTATGGATTTTTGTAATCTACAATATTGCTACTAGAATAGAAAATAGAAAAAACGGTTATTGGAGAAAGACCTGAAGGTCGCCGAGCTTTGGCGGTGTCTGCCAACATTATTGACATAAACATGGTCATTATTAGAACATCTATTTCCAGGCGAATAAATAGATATTGATATATAAGTAGAAGGATCCGTGGAAGGTGAAACATTGTGGGTACTGGCTTTAATTTAATCCGCCACCTCTTTTTCTAAGCAGCACATCAGCGTGGCGTTCGTCAACGTTACTAAAATATAAGGCTTTCGTTCACGTTGGCTGAATCCTGCCCGCCAGCCACAATGAATGGATTGGAATGATGTTTCTCGGTCCACTGAGGGTGAACGAATGAACCTTGATAAACATTTGTGTTTACCTGAATCAGCTGAGTTCTTTGCCGCGACCGCAGACTAGCTGATACACAGGTGCAGAATTGACTGTGTCCGGAAAACAAGACTGTTGACGGTGATACTGGTGGCGGTCGAAAAACTACAGTTAATCAAATAGCAGAACAGAAGACGCGGGTATGACGAAAAAAGATGAGTTTGATTTAATATTATTGACCTATGAAGTGTTGAATCTGATAATTTTTTTAATGCACTTTTCGTTTCTCCAGTTGCCTTCCTCAAGGTACAGATGCTGAGCATATGTATATGTACTTAGTCATGAATTTAGAATCGGATGGGGCTCTCCCCAAAGAGCACTGGCTTTGTAGCTTCTCTTCGATCTGTTTGCGTTAGATATCCATTCTCCTGTAAGCACCCAGACGTCGTCGTTGATACACAGGCCTAATATTGCCCGTTGTAAAAGGGACAAGCCCCCAGAAAATGAATGTCCCATTAAACGATCAGCTAGGATTATGACAGTTGTCGCGGCAGTTGCCTGCGTAGCTGATTCTGTTAAGTGGTTTGAAAGCGTTTGAAACAAAGAATGGAAATAATAATAGTTGTTGCACCACGACAACTTCCACGTGAGAGGAGTAGGTAGTATGACTTTTTACGTGTAATCCTTCTGATTCGCCAAGAAGAAGCATAACGAGTCGAAGAGACGGCTTTCAACAAGAAACGACAAAATCGAGTGAGATTTCTTACATTCAATAGCTACTATATGTGCATAAATATCAGGATAGCTGAATAAAAGAGGCTCCCGTGGGAGGGCACTCACGAATAGACATAAGGCAGATACGTCCGATTGGCCTCCACTCGATAGATTATACTACTGCCAGCCTCAGCAGCAACTGTGACAGAGGACTTACGAACATATGCTACACAGCTAAGACTACCTGTGCTAAGGGAAGGTTGAAAATACGTTGTGGATTTATCTTGTATCTACCTACACCGGTCTGCGCAACTAAGGTTCTGACATAAGGGCACTGACACCGAGGAATTCAACCTCAAGATTTTTACCACCCCACACATTTTTATCCTAAGGAAGCTGCTCGTATCGGAGAAAGCATTTAGGTGATTTTGCTGACGATCGTACCATTCCGATTGTTAACGTAATGGGTGCAATAAAGGCCGCTACCACCGACCCCATAATGGGCTAAAATGACTTCCATGTTTTTATGCTTAACATGGATTGTAATTCCTTGCAGCATAATATTGAACGAAATTAATAAATATCAGCGCATATTTGCCATATATAGCCTGCTCCCATATAAAATGCGGTAAGGTCAAGTATCGTGTTAGCTACAATTTACCAACTTCCACTGATGTGTTCAAACTGGGGTAACACTTGGCGCATTGTTTATCCTAACAAGCACGTGTTTGTTCGCTACCAGATAAAAATCAGTTACTTCTAAAGCCAGACAACAAACTCCTCACAGTGGGGAAAAAAAGCGTAATTTCACAAGCTATGATCCAAGCGCTTCGCGCTGGGCAACGTGTTATCAAGATCAAAAACTGGCTTTTTTCCCCAAATAAATAGTTCACGTTAAAGCCACACTGTCCTTGCGACTTGCGAAAAATATGGGAAAGTTTTCCATAAGGCAAACTGGAAGTTTCTCAATAGTATTTAAATTTACAAGGCTTAAAATCACGTAAAATGGTTGGAAAAGCCATTTTCATTATATCTAAATTTCTGATACAGAGACTAACGACCGTTTTGAGAAGGAGAATATTAACAGGAGAATAATAAAGAAAACAGAATAATAATAATAATTAAAAAATCAAGTAGTCGGGCTAAGCTCCAGTGGTTAGTCTTTTTAAGACTATTTGCGCCTTTTGTATTTATTGGCTATTTTGAACTATTCGGTCTGCTATCTGCTTAAAATTTGATTTCGTTAGACTCCTTTTGTGTATAACTTATTTGAGCGACTTTTCAACGGAGATACGCCTACAAATACCGCTTAATGCACCGCTATTATTAAATTAAAGGAGGAATATATTGGAAATGGCTAATAAGTTGCTTAGGTCCTAAACTGAAGATATAGTAACCGTGAATAATAAGCTATAATAAATAGCCATAATTGCCGGGAATGATGCTTCTAGTAAACGAAAAAAGTTCGCCGAGCTGTTTTTTTAGTTCAAATACAGTCTTCCAAATAAAATTGATTTAGATTCTTCATCCTGTGTAAAGTATTATTGAAGAGACAGGAATAAAAATAAACTCAGTTCAGGTGCCTAAGCCACAATAAATAACAAAAAAATGCACCTGGCCTACAAGAAATTTCGTCAATTGTTTATCAGGAGCACTAAGTTGGCGAACAGGGAATATTGATTAAATTAAGTTAATAATCGTATCACTTTATAGTTAAAGCAGATTCTTCTTACGTCTGTAGCACCTACAGCAGACTTCTTACTTACCCCGCTTACGTCAATCCTATTATCATATATCGCAATAGATGCGATACCCGTTTTGTGGTCTCGCCTTATCGGCATCCCTCTTATCGCAATCATAGGTGAATTAAAATGGCCTCCTGATGAATGATCGAATGCTAACCCCCGCTCTAGTGCGCCACCTGTTCATTACGGTGTCGATCACGTCTTGTTTGATATAAATGGCATGTCTATTGATTCACATTCTGTTCTAATGTCCATTGTATTTGACTTACCGTATTTTCGTTCATTGTTGCCATGGGCATAGTATCGTTTGCACTGGAGACCCCTACACATTGGATCCATTGAACTTTTCAGCTGTTTCTACTTCAAATGAATTTGGTAAGACAAAGTTCACAAATCATAACAAGTATGTATATAAACGGAGTTTCATAGGTTGGGTAGTCATTGATGTTACTAAAAAGGTTTTTGAGATTGTAAATTGCGAAAATTACTTCTAGTTAAAAGCCATGTAAATTTATAATAATGGGCATTTTCGTAAACAAAAAAGACTATTCAAATGTATTATATCATTTTTTACACAGCAAATAGCTGAAGGTAAGTTATGCTTATTTTCTCACTTGCACGTTTTTCTCCCCCTATTTTCAGGTATACGGAGTTCGTAAAAGACTGTCCAAATGGTGAGATGACGAAAGACGAATTCGCCAAACTCTACGGCCAATTTTTCCCCCCGGGCGATCAAACGAAATTCGTCGATTATATCTTTAACGTGTTCGACGAGGATAAAGTAAGTTACAGCCGCCAGCCCACATCTCAGACTCGAGGAACTGTAACAACTTTGTTTTTTATTTACCCAGTTATAAACTATCGAGACAAGTGTTTTTGATAATTTCCAAATTCACCGTAGAAAACTGACTGCTTGTTTATGAGCTACCGTTCTCAAAAACGTGTTACTTTTAGCGTATATGCATTTCAAAGTCCAATTCAAAGGTGACGATGCGTCATATCGACATTTGCGTCGATTAACTTTTACATATTGCTATCAGACAGAACCAGTCTTTATGCTTCGCCACGTGACAGTTCGGGCGACAAATTCAAAATGACGTTAGCTTTTACCCAAAATACTTAAAACTTAATTTTTTCCCCGCTGTAAGTTGAGTGTAGCCGTCAATTTGATCACTCACAAGGTCAGCTGTGTATCTTCAGTTTCATCCACCCACAAATACCGTTCCGATTTAATTTTTTTTAATCTGAACGATCACAAATTTTCGTATATTGCACACAGCAAAGAAGAGATCATAAGCTCGCAATAGCTACGCACGTATAAAATGCTTTCGTTTTCCCCATGTTTGGCCAGCTCGATTCACTTCATCCATAGGCAGATTATGCTAGCGAACTCTTCTCGCCTTCTGATTTTATTTAATTTTGCCTCCGAAGAGATCAGTGCTCGGTCTACCTACTCCTTTAGTTCCTACTGCTTTCGACTAGTAGTTAATGCACCCTAGTATCAGATATTGCTATATATCGCGCATTGCTTCCAAACTTCTACCATTCAGTGGTATTCCATTCCGCTCTCGGCAAAACACTCATGTGTGCCATACATTTACTTGCAAAGATAGAACGAAATACAAGGGGGATGTTTAACGAAGGCAAAGTATTAGGAACGCATTGGCTTTGTGCATAAGCCTCGAGAAAGGTTTATCTAGATCAGGCAGTTGCTGGGATTGTCATTTTGTTGCTGATGTAGTTTTTTTGGATTGATGGTGTGATTACCGCCAAATGTTCTCGTCACCAATAAGGGGTTGGCGGGCTCACGCTGAAGCTCAATGGCGGAAAGTAGCGCAGTGCAGGTGCTTTCATTGATGCCTTATTTCAATATTAGTAGTGAACAGAATTGTTACTGTTATCTCATTTGTTACTGCAATCTGAAAATAGTAATCGTTATGCCTGTTTAATCTGTTTTTGATTGCATTTTGCCCATCGCAGGGCGCAGGAGGCTTACAAAATAAGGACTGGAAGCCAAATTTGCTCTATAGTAGCAGCAAACTTTTTTCTGATTACGTTTAACTTCGAATCCGATGACCTATGGATGACCAAATGAAGAGGGACAAAACTAAGCTTAGAGTAAACAAGAGTTCTCAAATTGTTTTGCGTGTCCCAAGGTACAATAGAATAAAATTTGCCAACGCATGTTGGCCGCTTTCAAGTTTGGTACTTCTAAAATTAAGCAAGCTAATTATACAAACATGTATTAATATAGTATATACAGGTTTATGTTTTTGTAAGGCTGGACACGGAATGCCGCCATAGTTTTGAGAGCGAAGCTATCTTTCGCGCCTTAGATTTCAATAGAACGAATACGCTTTGCGATAAATACATTCAATTAGTGGGTAACTGTATCATATTTAATTAGCCACCCACTCTAGCCTTTTGTTGTATATCGACTACGGCCAACAAACTAAAATATGCATAAGTAACGGAGCCAAATTAAATAAATAAAACGTATAGTTTGTAGCCATTTGCAAGTTTTCGTAAGACCCAGTACCGTCCATTACAAGTCAGCGTTATGTTGATTAATTACAGCGTACAGGGTGATTAGGAAAACTATTAACGGTCGACGAAAGACCTCCGTGGATCCTCATTTGAAGCTACAGCCGAACTGATTGGTGGATTTACGCCTTACCACTTACGAAAATCCACGTTATTTTGTTAACTTGGAACTGACCTGACCTAACTTCTATATCATAAAAGTTCGTTTAAATATCCGAGATCTGGGAATTTCCGAAATGTTTTCAGCATTGCTTTATGAATAACACGAAAATAACTACATTGCAGGGATGGCTTGGTTATAGTTATTTAGTTCTTTATCCACATGAAATCCATCCCCGCCTAGGTTTCACTACTTTTTTCTCTTTATGAAGTTTTAGCTCTTTAACCTATGTTCCCACCTTCGCACTCGATAAATTCTCCCTTTTGCCATTATCAAAACGGATCTGTTCTAGAGATCGGCGTTAACTTCTGTTTCTATATATTTATTGAGGAATCGGATACACTACTCATCTACCGTAAGGAGAATACGCTGGCAGTTGATAGAACCAAATACAAACGATGCGGGCTATCTTAGCATTTGAATTAATTAGCCTTATCTCGTTGATTACCAAACACGGCAACAGTTAAGTTAGGGTTTATAGTTGAATGTATATGTTTATGTTATCGATTTGGTCTGTAAACCTATTAGCAGACCTTCATGGAAATGAGTAGAATCCGCTAGTTGAACAAATTATTTTTTGTTTCAATTATATATTATGCACACGGACACACATACATGAAAATCATACTGTGTTTTTATGCTACACGAGGCTCGACAAGTTGCACTGATACCTACAGATCCGTCCGTTCTCAGTTCATTTCGGAATGAGCGTTACCCAAATCTGCCAAGCGTCAAACTTGTATCGACAACCCCCGCCGCCGATCGACGTCTAATACCACCAAGACTTTGATAGTGTACTATATTTGAAAATGAAGATGGAAACCGGCCAGAAGGGCGTCCGTCGTATATAAGGATTCCTCCATAGCCTCGATCAGTCCAACTGGACCTTTTCTCGGCTTGACTGGGTCCGTGAAGGTTTGCTCAGACGGATCGCGTCTATTAATGATATAGGAATCATTTGAAGTCAACAGCAGGATTGCTGAGCGGACAAAAAGTCGGGCTCCCAGAAAGTTAGAATGCAGGGTCGAACGGGTACCTTTCGAACTCTGGGGCTTGTTGATCAAGGCTTATGAAAGGCGTGGCGTGCCTGGTAACCCTTATCCGTTGAGAGTATAATGACGAATTAAGGACGAATAGTGAAATTCTGAAAACGACTATCCAACGGCTAATCAGTTAATAAATTATGTAAAACGGTATGCTATTGAGAGGTCAGCGAGGAGCCGACCTGAATTGGAAGTGACCTCGTATGAAACAACAGCTAGGTAACCAATCAGTGAGGTAGACAATCTGTTTAACGATATCAATGGTGTTTTGTCGACAGGTACTGTTTTAAATACGTTCTCGTTATATTGTCATCATATAATTGTAATCTAAGCGAAAACTAGTATAGTAACTTATACAACAAATATAATGAGCGATGTCAGTATCTAAAAAAATAATTTTTAAAGGACGCTACGCTACAGGTACAATGTTATTGTAAAGACGTATAATTTTCTTTTAGTCATACTGAATAACGTTTGCGAAACAGACGTTACCTACGAGCGGGCCTGCAGGCAGCCTACCTCGTCCAATACATCTACTACGGCCTACAGTCGGTGAAGCGCAAATCGAAAGAGCGAACAATGGATTGAATACGACACAACAAGCACACGATTGTGCCTCAATCGATCTGGTAGTAAAATTCATTGGTATATATTCTTTAGCTTAGCAAATAACGATATTCCTACCACGTGTGAACACTTCTATAAATATAGTAAATCACATATATACGTCATAAGGTGCCATTGATGCAGGTTGCAGAAAAACAAGGAGATGGATTGTAATACATGTTCGTGAAAGGAGCACAAAAGATGCACACCTCATCTAAATATCAGCTCATTGCCACCTCGATAAAGCTATTTGTTGCGAAATGTTAATCCATAGCAGCCGATGCAGCAATGTCTTCCCGGACGTTCGATTGCATCACGTTATACATTATATACCTACGACTATATATCTATTATATACCTGCGACTATATATCTATTATATACCTGCGACTACATATCTAGTATCTACCTAGGCGTGTCAGTTCGTGACAAGTCGTTTTTATGATATATGTAAGGAAATATTTATAAGGCCTGCCAGGCCACAGGAAATGGTCAGAGTTTACAAGTGATGCTTGGACACTGTAAGGTCGTCCTTGTCCTTCAGCCGCCCTATGTCAGACTACGCTAAATCATGTTGTACATGGTCCCCTCCATGCAGTACAGGCAAAGCATATAGCTATGATGATATAGAGACGAGCCTGTACTGCGGCGTCTGTCGCAGTCGATGGATGACTACGGAAATCGCCGCAGCGAGCTTCGGGAAGCGACAGGATAAAGAGCGCGTTTGCCTAGTAGATAGAAGGAATGAAAGGGAAACTGACAGGAAAAACTGGCAGTGCTCCAACGAGGGACGAAGAACTTCAGGACAAGCAATACATAAAAATACAGCTTAGACTGCATTTCCGAAGCCGTGGGTAGGGCGTTTGTATCTAACGCAAGAAAGCGACGCCGCGGGAGTAGAGACGAGACCCGCTGCAAATATAGCTAAAAAAGATTAGTCCATTGCAGTAACGTAATATTTGTTCATGGCACTTAAATGATTAGAGTAAACCATTCGGCTAATTAGGTCCCGTTGCCAGTTTCGGCTACGAGGAACTCGGGTTCTTGCGCTACTATAACAGTCATTGAAGCTAAATTAGAAACAGAGCTTGTGTAATTTTCATGGCGAACAAAGGGCCCATGGGTATTCCCGACTGCGTCATATCGAATAGTGCACAAAGCGACAATCGCTCGCAAGCGCAACAGCGAAAATTACAATGGCAGGGTGACAAAAGCTCGTCTGTAGATTGCGACTTCACGGACCTAAATACGTACATATGTTTAGATGAGCGGGCTTTACGTGTTCCGTTTCGAAACGGACACGAAAAACTTTATAGTCATCACCCCGTCCCGCTGGCGCTGAACAGTACCTACTCATTGTCGCACCGGACAACGGGGCCGGGAGGAGAGCTATGCTAAAGAAAGCGGCATTGCTTTCCCCATCATCAAAAATGCAATGACTGTCACAGTAGCGGTCAGCTTTAGAGGCACAATGGCCTTCAAGGTTTTCGACTACTCATTTCATCCAGGCTTAGCGCTGCTATTAGCATATGCCCGTGTATGTAGGAGTGGGTGCGCGACTGTGCCAGCGTCATTGATGTCTGTATAACCTTATTGCTTGTAGGCAGCATATGTGTACCTCCGATACGGTGACTAGGATTTTGTTGAATACGATGATTGATTTCGTGATCTTTTTGTAGTACTAGTCAATAGCAACATAACATATAAATCCCGTTATAATAAACACTGTGGCACGGTTTGTTCTGCAGGTGATGTTTGGTAGCCTTTTTTTCAATGTTTGGAGTCTGTTTCAAAAAAAAAAAATGCTATACGTCAGTCTTGATATCGCCGATTTGATATGTAGGGATATTTCTAAAATTTGATGACATCGACTGTTGCGACGATGTTCCGGCAACTGACTCCTCAAACGCGGTCTTTTTGATTTACGACAAATATGTAATTCAGAAAAAAAAACAACAAAAAGAAAAAAAAAAGGTCTTTATTTCCCGAGTGGTGTATTTGGTGTATTTGCTGGTGTATTTGGATCAGGTTTTGGAAGGAATTAGGAAAGGGGCACGACGAGCTTGGGTGGTTTACTGAACGAGACAAACTTAAGTGGTTGTGGTAGTAGTAGTAGTAGTAGTAATTATTGCTTCGTGTCAAACTAGGATTTTTGTATTTTAAAAGAAAGTTAAATAGAGGAGACATTTTCTAGCAACAGCCTAGGTGAGCTGTAAAATACATAGGTATATAAGGGGTTCGTTTGCAGTAAGCGAAAAATCGGCTCACCTTCATCGGTTCTCGAAAGTGCTGTCACTATTCGTAATAGAAGGACATAAATAGCATTCCGTTATAGAAGTGTCTCATCGTTTTGATTGGCTCCAGATCCGTGAACCGGTACTAATCATATTCGCTGACCGACGTTAGTTTTCAAATGTCGTAGCGCATCGTTCGTCGAATATGCTATTTCGCCTTTGTATGTTTTCCTATTATGTTTTCGAATAGCATACGACCTTCGAACGCTCGCTCCGGTAAAAGCCAACGTAAACACGTGTATATAGCAACAGCGAATTGACCTAATTACTTTCGAGTGAACCACGTTACCGTGGACGGCTATATTAATCGTGTTAACTTGCCAAACGCATTCAGTCATCTTAGGCACAATAATGGACTTGACTGATTCATTTCTGCGCAATGTAACTGGGTACGAACTCAACTTAGATAATAAATTGCTTGAAGTTCCACTCGAAGTTTAAGTCAAAGCAACGTCAAAGCTTGCGTAAAATGTTTATAAATGCCCCTAGGTCTATTCGTAGATGAAACTATCGATAATCTCTCCGCAGCAGAGATGCGGACTACATGCAGTAAACCAACCTGCACCCCTGAAGTGACAGACAGATACGTGAAATCGCCTATGTACCTGATAGAGTCCCTAGCGTAAAGTATGAATTTATCCACTCCCCTTACATGCACTCTATAAATAGGCAGTATGATTGTGCAGCTTAGTTCGGCGCACCCATTCACATATCGGCACCAGTTGTGGAAGGTCTCCCTTATATAATTGAATTCGTCTTTTACTGCATTCAAGGCCCGTTAACTAGAAGGCTTGTCACTTTAGCGTGTGCAGGTACGGAGTATATGGAGCTGTGACTGACGTAGAAAGCCTGTACGGCCTAAAGTAACTGTTATTTATGCTATAGCCGTTATGGATTCGAACAGTTGTCTTTCAGCCAATACGAAACGAATTGTAGTTACTCGTACTATAAAAAAAAGAAGCATTTCCTACTACACTCATTATATATATATATTATGTTATTTACGCGGTAAAAATCACCGATGTCTTACATTCTAAGACAGAAGTTCTATAAACGCATAGCTTAAGTGAAATGAGCCTGAGAAATATAAGATCCAAGTGTACTTTATTATATTAACAAAAATTACGTTTTCGCCTCGTGTTTTTCTGCTCCTGTGCTTCTACCTGGATTCATGCCATGTATGGTTCACACACGATTCAAGAATGGCGTGATCACGTTCAAGGAATTCATTCGCGCCATTTCGATCACCACGAAGGGCTCTATCGATGAGAAGCTCAACTGGGCCTTCGACCTCTACGACATCGACAACGACGGCTTCGTTACGCGCGCTGAAATGGTCGACATTGTTACCGCCATCTATGTCCTTCATGGTTAGTAAACGATGATACACTATCGACAAATCATCAAACTCTACACGAATCGGCCTTATACAGACGACAACAAGCATAATTGAGTTTTAATTTTAGCGTAGTATAGTTAAAAAGTACTCCTTAATGCACAACGAGTCACAGTTAAATGTATATTTCTAACTTCTGTTGGCGTTTCTGTAGCAGTCGTGCAACGACACTGAACAGAGCGATGTTTTGAAACACGGCGGTTACGAGCAGCGAAGCATCATTCTGCATTGAGTCCCGTTTCCTTCGTCTGATATTGAGTTTTTGTTCGCCACGGGCGACATTGTATCAGTAACTTGTTCATCTTTTGTTTACGCATGATGATGTACCCTATCGATGACTTCGCGCATGCGATTAGGTTTTACGTGTGAATCTAGATTGCGTCCGCGGCAAAGTCGTTAATTTGTCGTTTGCATTCTGTTTCTTTTTTCATTAATTTAATGGAAAATAACTCGTTTCCTTTCAGTTAGCTAGTTTTTTTTTCGCCGCTAGTTGCCGCTGTCATCGACAACTTCATCTCTCGTCTTTTATCTTTCCTATCCGGAAACCACTCTGACTCGAATATTAAGCGCTGCCGCCATGATCACCCTTGAACCGTCATGTAAGCGGGCGGAGGGACAGGAAGCATTACTTGCGCTGGGAAGGGTTGCAGCGCTCTTAATAGCTTTACTGTGCAAAATACCAGAACCCGGTTCTACTGCGACATCCCACTGAAATCACTGTTTTAATCTCTACGTTCAATATTGTCCACGTTCAATTTCACACCTAAAACGACTTAGCTAATGTCCACAAGTTTGGCAAAGAAATACGTTACCAGTAAACTATTACGGGAGTTGCGACATCAAACCCAGGTAAACAATCACCTCCATTAACCCCTCGTGTGATGATAAACTGCGATGTTAAATTAAACGTGCGTGTGTGTCTGTGTGTGTAGCCAGTTACGCCCCCAAAAGAGATAGGACAAGTATATACATATGAAGTCTCTAAAATTGTCAAGCAACTTGCCTCACCCTGCATTTTTGAAATAGTAACTTACCTCATGGTTCTATGAGCACGCACCGCTACTTTTTACCGTTTGCGATCATTGCACAGAACTACGATCACTTTGAGGACGTTGACGTTGCTTTTACTGTCGTTATCGTTATTATCTTTTCTTTCTTGGCTTCTTGCCTATTTGTAGTTCTACAGCGGCGACCTATTTCTGCAAAATGACTTTTTTTTTATAGCCCTTGTTGAAACGGACCATTTACTGCTTTAGTTCGCCGAAGTACTAGACAATCTATTCTATCTACATAACTGTCGAATACGGCAGCTCCTAAAGTTCTTTGTTCCATGTCATCCTCTTCGTTTAAACTACGACCAGTGACTGTAACGGCGTGTATTCCAGTGACGTTCGGTGTCCTACGCGAACTTTTTTCCTAAAAGCTGCTTGTTAAGTAGCCATATTTGAACGCCAGTGGAGTTACTCGCGCCATACAGGCCGTTACAGGACAAACTAATTACAACCACTGTTCATAGCTAGTCACTATAATAATGCTACAGAAGCTATCCCGCTACACGGCGATAGTTGTAAAGTTAAGCTACGATTTTGGCCACGGCTCGACGCCGTTTGGCACAGTGACAACCAATTGCTAGAGAACGGCCGGCGATGTTCGATGGCTCATTCGGCCGTTACTGGGGCGCAACTTCTAATGTACTTGAAACACAGGCCGATTCACTGCAGCCAGGCCAAGTACATAGCATGAGAGAGACAAATCAACGCTGTGACTTTACTCTAGAGTCGATAGGAACCGTGTTTGTCCTGGCAGGAAAGGCAGGTAGGTGTCGTTGTGTAAGTCTCATTGGCTCTTGCTAGTGGCACCTTATTTCGACTAAAGAACAATCTCCCCTGTTACGATATAGCGAGCGAACATTGCCACCCTACGTCGCTGGGGTAATGTCGTGTTTGGCAATCGTATGACAATGACTAGACCTGATAAAGGTGTCAGCTACTACTGCCATGAAATTGTTCAATAAGTCAATTTTAAGTCTTTTGAGATGTACTTCTCAGGCGCCGCGGATCTTTACCGATCTGAAACAAAGTACACTGATCAGGAAAGGCGATAGGCGTCATAATAAAACAGATCGATGTCAATCGACCATTTGAGTTACGTGACGGTTCAGCTATTATATAACACGCTCATTTCTTACATTGCAGCTATATGGCCATGCCATGAACTCGAATAGGACATTTTACAAACTAGGTGACGCCTTTTTAAAGCGTGTTTCGAAAGAAACGAGTTTGATTCGATCTTATTACCCAATGATTTAGAATGATCGACAAAGTTCGCTACTAGTACATGGAAAACATGACATAATTTGCTTATGGCAAATCACTCAAATCTGCTAGCAGTGTCCCATAATATTCTTATTTTCCTCTTTTCATAGTTTGTGTAAGGTTGGGTAATTGTTTAGCTATCTTATACCATATCATATCATTCTTTTGATAATTGGATGACAGCGGAGACAGGGTCTTATAGCCCTGTCTGCCTCCCCTCGTTTGCCCCTCATCGTAGCATCCCGCTGCAGATTCAAACAGAATTAGTTGTTTTTTTTTTTCGACAGCCAACTCAGATGCGTGCTAACTCTTGCAAATGACGTAATACGGCGGGTTGATAGAACGCAAATTTTGAATCGATATTTTATAGTTGTTACATAGCCATACAATTCGTTTGGCCTAAGAGTTATAATTTGACTGATGTTATTGAGTCTCTTCTGAAGCAAGCTTTTTGGCGACAGCCTTTTGTATGCAGATAGAGTACAGGTAGTTACCGGGCCGACTTTCTCAAGTTCGACGTAGGTGGTCAACCAAAAAGCTCGGGCGCACCAGTAGCTATAATGATGCAGGACTGTCATGGATCTTCTATAAATGTTTCCCGCTCTATTAAAGCTTTGTGCAATAATGAGCTTGACTTAATTCCGTGAATCGAATCAGTCTTAGTTTATAGTACTTACGGAAAGGATGGCAGACATTGGATAAAGTAGCTTTCGGCGTCTGCTATCGTACTCTCTCTCGCTCACGAAATAGTTTTATAATATCAATAATCAGGTGTTTGCGATAACTATTCACTATTATTTGTGACGATTCTCATTGTGGAACACATGGTCGGAGATGGCTTTCGATATGGGGAAGTTTAGGCCAATTGTACTTGCAAGCAGCAGTACCCAATATACGGCTGGTCATCTGGTAAGATCACATGTTGTGGGGAATCGTGGGACTGTTCGTCTATCGTCCAGCTGCCGTAATTTGTGCAGAAACATGTTCGAGAGAACATGTTTCTAGGTGCGCTGTTGATTCTCGATTGTCAAGCAAGGAACTAGCAGGTGCTAGGAACGTGCTAGGAACTTAGCAGGTCACCTTAACAAAATTTTCGGGTCAATCAAGGTAAATTTCTTTTTTTGTATGGTCTAACACTTGTTGGACAAACCATGTAAGAGGGTTATATATTTTTGACATCACCGGTGTAGAAAACTGATACTCTCCAACAATAGCGAAACTATTATTGTGCCTTATTACACCTTTGTTTTCATTACTGATCTCGGCTCAAATATACATAATTTCCGTTGGGTGCTATGGCCTGGACCGGTTTGAAACCTTTCGTTTCATAGATCGTGACAAATAAGCCGAAAAACAATTCTCCTTAGAAGTACCCTTATAAATATCGGTCCATAATATCAAGGGCGGAAAGCATTCGTGAAGAAGGCCTGTGTTTTATCGTAAGGGATTCGCTTACGTCCGTGATACTTGCTCCAGGTGAGGGTTACAAGATAGGACTGATTAGGATTCTGACAAGATGTTTTGTTAGACGCGCTAGGAAAGGATCAATTGTGGTCTCTTGATAAAGGCCTTATCGACGCTCATTGCCTCGGCCAAAACCCCGGGTGCATTCTGGTTACTAACGAAAAACTGATTTAGCAAATACGTATTATACTGTTAATTAATTTATCCGTAGCTGATTTCTATTCTACCAAACAGTAGTGTAATATTTTATCATTGCTAGTAAACTGAGCCTAACACGCATGTGCATCAGGTAAAAGTCCCATGACATTATGGCTGACAAGTGTGCTACTATGTATCAATTATTTTGTCATGCAGGGAGATGAAACATTATATAAATCGAGGTACATCACCACTATTCCATAACGATAACCCTGTGCCCGTACATCACGCAGGATGCTGCCTGGTAACGTCCTTTCTTAACGTATTAGCACGCGTATAGGGTACGCATAACGGATTATGCCTAACTTGATATTATACTTTCACGCTGATAACTATATTTGATGTTTTAGGTTCATATTTTGTAAGTATTATATATGATCTGCCTTATGACAGGCGTTAATAAATAATAACAATAATTATTATAAGCGTAAAAAACAACAAAAATGTGAAATAACACTACAAATACAAGATCAGTATTCTGAACTAAGCACTTCATTAGCATTGCCCTCGTCTTACAATACCGAACTATCCTTGCTCTAAGGAAACTAACAATCAACGTATCTTTTCTGTCCCGTTTATGTTATTAGGCAAAGCAGCGGAAGGTGATCCGGTATCGCGGAAGGTCGATCAGCTGTTCGCAAAACTCGACTTCGACTCCGACGCGCGGATCTCGAGAGAAGAGTTTTGTGAAGGCTTCAAGACAGATCCCTGGATTCGCAAAGCGTTACTCAGTCAATACGAGTAGTCGGAGCAAACAGAGAAGCGACTCGACTGAACAGGCGTGGTCGTTTACTATTGCCGTCGCCGTCTCCGCCGCTATTGCCACAGAACCCCTCTGCAGACTCAACAGTGTGACAAGAAGCTCGCCACACAAATTGAGGAGGAACTTTCAATAGGCGCATAACAATCAATACGCTCCCATAACAACCGACGTTGCCTTTCTGCTGGGTAGCAAAAAGGCGTTGATATTTCGAATACTACGGGGGTAGTCACGTACGGTAAATCCGTCCTCCTCTGCCGCCTCAGTAGCATCCATGTAACGCCAGTTAAGTATTCAAACTAACGTGCGTTGGTTTCGCAAACGGTACTGTGTCAAGAGGCAATGTCATAATATTACTGCATAAAAACTGTAACACTTTTTTTTAGTGTTACCTGTCACCTCAATAACGTCGTCGTCGTCGTCGTCTCGACGATGGACGATGACCTGCGATCTGCCGCGGCTAGCGTGCGCAACTACGGAGAAAGAAAAACGAAGTAAGTTGCTGACAGCAGCAATCGTAGTCGAACTACTAGAACAAACGAATAGACGCAGCCAATCGAAGAGTTCCATGTTCTGAACTTACATTATAGACAGTAAAGAAGGCCAAACAATCCGCATTCAGCAGCGTCTCTGATACAGCATCACCGGGGAATATATACACATTGAATAAAGCTCACTGCGGTCACTGGTACTCGCCATGAGGCGCAAAAATAGATAGGATTAGATGAAATCGTAAGCGACCGAATATGTATAATGTAGCAGAAGGAGACGGCCGAGACTCCTTGTTGTGGTCGCTAAATTCCTTGTCGAAAAACCATGGGCCACTGCTTACGGCGCCGCCATCAACACATATGATAAAACGTGTTGTATGATTTACTAAAGTACGAAATAACCCATCGTTGAATGCGTTTGTCTGTGATTTACACAGCTCTCTATGCATAGCACATGCTTTAGGGGTTTAGCGTATTCGACATCGGTACGATTTAGCTGCCGTAAGAAGTACTCATATATATATATGTCAAAAGTAATCTATTCGGGCTCTACACAGAGATGTTATGCTGCAAAGAAACAAAGTAGTTCAAAGTGACCTTAGCTATTGTTGCTATCCGGAGAAAATATGATTCATCTATCGAAAATTCTTTAGGGTCCACAATCCGTCCGTAAAGTTCCATACGTTTCCTACTATAGCGCAACAATAACCAGAAGCGTTGGCGATATACATTGGCACGTAAATGATACAGTTATACATACAAATGCATAACGGTATAGTACGACTCTCTGCTTTGTATAGAAGAATCTTCCTCCGCTATTCTAGGTATTTGTATCTACTAAGCGACACGATTATTAATCAATAACTGAACGGATAGAAGTCGAACGCCTAAGCTCTACGTAACCACTGCAACGTTATTTAGCACGTATCTATTATCCGAAAAAAGGACAAAAATATTATAATAGATAACTAGATATTTGCCTACTAGTAATAATAATAATCATCATTATTATTAAAATGATCATAAGTGTAAAAAACAATGGTAATAATCAAAACCTATTAATATAATGATAATAAGAAAAAAAATTATGTGACAATATGCAAAATCTGTTGAAGCTACAACTAACTACGCGATGATGACGACATCAGATGGCTAAACGAGATAGCGAACTACGAACTATAATACCTTATTCTCTGAAAATATTTAGTATCGTATAGTTACAATTTCTATGGCTACAACTACGACAAAGAGGCAGATGTTTAACACCAACGCATGCGGTGGCCACCTGCAGGGAGAAAACAGAAACAACGCATAGCTCGGAAGAAGGTTCGATCTGCAAGTGGAGAAAATTGAAGATTTCTACGTCAAATAGAAAAAACAGACCGAAGGTTTTTTTCTAGCAGGGCTACGCACTTTGTAATGGTAGAGTATTACTCGAGCTAGAAGTCAGAGCGTGTTATTTGAAATCGAGATTAGTGAACGAACGTGAAGATCGACTAAACGTGACGCTGACAGTATGCCCTGTACGTTTTCCTGTAGTTCCGTGCGCATTAAATCCGCCGTCGAGATGAACTAGAGGATAGTAGGCGGATCACTGAACCGGCCTCTTACACAAGACGCAGCGATGAAACGGATTAGCCGATGGTGGCAGCACAGTAAGAAAAGGATAGCACAGACTGTGTGAGAATGAAGAACTTTTTTGAGACTTCTTCCTGAAAACTTCGTGAATCTACAAAATTCATCGCACAGCTAAATGAGCTTCGGGTGCGTTAGACAAGATGAATTTCGTCAAAAACAATTTGATACGACAATAATAAAACATGCTTTTACCGAACTGACGTTTCCCGCAGTACAAAAAATTGTCGATTTTTGGCCGGCGCTTTGGCGACGTCCAGAACTTGAGTCGGCAAGGCTTGCGTCTAATAAAAGTATCGCTTTAGTAAAAGTAAAAAGGCAGATCGGCTTTCAATTGACGCCGAATAGCTTAAAGCAAAAAGGAAACCTCATCGTCAACAGGCGGATGTTACGAACGAAGGAATATACACTAACAGATGAGTACACGCTAAATTTCATTGCATGATCCTAATAGATGCTATAAGTCGTCTTTTACAATCCACTCTTACCTAGATCTTTTTTTGTTTCATTGTTTAACGCTTAATTGTTTTTATTCGACATTTCCCTTCTCTAAGATTTGTAACGGTAGAAATTCTGTTTTCTTGTATGATTATCAATGTATCCCTATCGACGCCAGCGAATGGTGGCATATACAAAATGCAATAGCGAAGTACTGGACAGCATTGATCACTCACGACTAGAACGAGATGTGAACATAGCAATATATACAATAGCGAGATTTTCACTTTAGAAATGTTTAGTACGCTACCTACACACAGAAATAGATAACTTCCGCCACCATAACGATTATTTTGGCCCCTGTTTATATTCTAGATACGGCTAATTAGCTATTAAGTATGACCGATTTTCTGTCACTTGCTAGTAATCATAACATCTAATGAATAAATCTTTCATTCTTCCCCTAGAGAAAAAGCGATTACGGCATTTTCGACGAACTCTTCCAGTTCGCCACCTTGCAGTATTTCGGGAATGCCCGATACAGGCATAAGTGGCTAGGCATATTCTACCGTATTCCCCATGGTCTCCTGCTAATGCAAACGTCACCAACCAAGATTGGCCTTATGGCAGCTGAACGCACGACGAACGGTTACTGCGAAGGTCGAGATAGTCGCCCCCAATTAGATCAAGAGTACACAGAAATAGATCATCATCAACATCAATTCACGACAATTCCCCGCTAATCGGAAGTAGACCAGATGAAGTGCTGGATATCATGGCGTTTTGGTCTACAACATGTCGAACAACGTCGTTCGAGTTTTTGCTAATATAATCGCTGTAACTAGTATCATCCTTAAAATCTAGAGACGTTTGGCTCTATAGCGAAAGTCCGCGTTTCTAATCTATTGATAAGTGGATGACACCACAATCGATATCGGAAGTTACCACTGGACAGCAATAACTTCATTCACCACGTTGGCGCTCAGATAACGCTGGTATGGATACTGTTTATCAAAATAGGCCATGACCTTTGATCTATCTGAAAAAGGACATCAGGGTGCCCTTTTCGAATACTAGGATACTATGAGTTACCTCCAGATCGATATATAGTTCTATCGGTGTCATCCGATCAACTACTAACTAACGGTCCTTCCACAAGCTGTCCTTTACCACCCTGTAGCTTTAAACCTACCTAGTAAACCTTCTCGAATCTCAACTTAGTTGACCTGTACTATCCCTCCTCAAAACATCTGCTCTTCATTGTTTCAAACAATACCGAATAGCTTTATTAAATATGTTTAGATTTCTGGCAGCTTGCTAGCTTTCGCTTACTGTGACTGAACATGCATAAAAGTACCTATTTCGTGTATAGAGTAGATATTTCGATTTGAGTGTGTGTGTATATATATATGCTCAAAGATAAGTTGTTTTAGTAAGTTTTTTCCTCTTTTATGAAACCTTACAAAGCAGCAAAGTTGAACAAACAACCTTGAACTGTTCTCGATCTTGTCAGAAATAGAGCACAACAGACCAAAAGGCCGGCAGATGTTATTGTAGCTAATAGCAACAACAAAACGGAATGAATTACGCGGACTCGTAAAATGTGCTAGCTAGAGAGAAATTGAAAGCGCCCTATTTTACCGCACCATAAAATTAGCCCTACGGTGAGGATAGCAAGTAGATCAATGCGGCTAACGGCAAAACCTTAGAACGTTGCAAAGTCCAGCGTAGATGAGCTCGGTGATGGTGCTCGATAACAATGTAGGGCGTACTCGACACCGTGGTAAGCTTGGAAAAATACACTGAAAAATGTGTCACTGTCGACGGTAATTGTAGCAATTCTGATGGACTATCATACGCGAAATTTGGTTTCTCATTATTATTTTGATGACGGTCACAATATCACTAAGGGCAAAGGATTGAATTTATCACCGCAAAAAACAAAACTGTCAGGCAAACACAAAGCCTTTTCCAGCAGGACATGCGTTTCACCACGTTGTAGTATACATTTTACCTTGTAACTTTTTATCCAGGTTTATGGCTGAAACTTTAGGTGCAACGGGATGGATCGTCAGGTAGTTGTAATAACTTAAACAATATCGAGGTTGTGAATTAATTACAGAGTACTTGTGTGTATCTGTGGAATTATATATTTACGAAATTAGACGTTATGTTACACCAGCACATACTGATAGAAATATTATGTGAACAAGAAGTTATTTCAAGTTGAATTTCATATATTCTTGTACTTTATTATAGCTCACAAGACAAAGAAAAGTTTGCGACCTCCGCTATTGAAGGGCAAACTCCAATTTGTTTTACATGTAAAAATTTCCACCTCAGATATTCACTCGTATTGGCTATCGCAAGTATTTACGAGAACGTCCGGAAGGTCGGACCATTAAGGAGCCGTTCTACCAGCCTTAGTGTGATAAATGTAAAGATTAAACTCTTAGGTTGTTGATCGAACTGCTGGCTCTTACTTCGAATTGGCGCATTTTTTTGTAAGTAAAATAACTAAATAGATGCTACTAATGTACATGTTGCCGTGTGCAAATGGACCGCAAGCCACATGTTATCGTCTAACATTATCTAAGGACTCGATAAAGATAACGGCGGCTGAAAGGGATAAACATCGAAACGACTCAGGATAAAAGCATAGTCTGTCGGATATACAGCAAAAGCAAGAATCCGGAACTACACTACTTCTTTTAAAAAGAAACGCGCCACTAACCGTCAGCGCTATCAAAACCGTCACTATCGAAAAAAATTATGGCGCGTTATTCTGTTAAATGCGATAATTATGTTATACACAAAAACATCTGCTTCATACGGTGGCGGTGTGTGAAATACCATCATACACATATGGGCATGCCAACAAAAACTATTGGCCATCTCAATCTTTTGTAGCTGAGAATTTCAGCGAGAAAGTGATAAAGCACATTAAACACGTACTGGGAAATGAGCAAGCCTCATGGGAGAACAGAAAAAATGTCTTTAATTTCATAATATTACATAATTTATATTTGTTGAAATTATTATTATTAAAAGATTAATATTTGTTGAAAAAGATGATCATTGATCAAACTGTCGCCGTTCGAGAAAACTACATCGCTTGTTCTTCTAAGCACTTAGCTATCTTTCCACAATAGCATTCTATGTATTTCCTTCGTTATTGTTTACGAGACGATAAACCAGCTGTTATTAACGACGCCGTCAAGTGAAAGAAGTAATTTACTGTGTATTGCTAGAGTTTTTATATTGTTGCCAAATAACGTTTACAGGTAACGTTCCTGTCGAACGAAAATTAGCGGGCATATAGACCTCCATTCATATAAAATTATTTCTGGTCATAAATGATTCATACAAACAAGTCGAACACGAAAAAACTGATGAGAGAGCTACGTCTGCTTTACATTCAAATGGGTCCTCACGGTTATAGATACGCTCTACGTTGTTTTAACTATGTGCAAGTAATCATACCGGCTCAAACCGCGAAATGCAAAAAAAAAAAAGAAAACACAACTGATCATGACAAATGACAAAAAAGAACAGAGCTTTCCATTCAATTTCTTGAATTGCGCCATATATACATATATATATATATATATATATATATATATATAACATGCATCGCTACTGTGAGGAATAATAAACAAATACTTATTTAGATTTCAATGCGACATTACTGTTATTTGATGAAATAAAATAGATTGGCGGGATGTAATAAAATTAAACTAGATTTGATTGAAACACTGTCCACCGTTTTGAGACAGCATTGGGTATCAAGCACGGTCGCAGTGCAACCGCGCTATCAGCATTAGATCCTCATACTAATCCATAAGTAATTTCACTAGGGATGTATATTAGCATAATGTATATTTGCATTAAAGATATTCAATCTTGTAGGTATCGCGACACAGGTTATTACCTGTATTCATTTGTACCTTGTGTCGAAAAGTCCTGGTGCATGCGCAGGGCATGCGAAAATTTTGCTTACTTTCGATAAATCTGAGTCACTCTCTTGAGCCGGAGTATGTGTTAGAGTTGGGTCACACAAAGTGGACCTAAGTCAGGTTAAATTACTTGGTTCTATTAAAAAAAAGAACAACCCAATTATCTCCTTTCTAGTTTATACTAAAAATAATCCACGCCCGTTGAATACGCTTTATCCATCCTCTCCAATGAAAGTTAGCTTTAAACGATACGGATAAAACCCAACCCAGCTTAACGGTGCCCTGGCAGATTACGTTCCTCCAGCTTTGCACAAGCGTCATTAGAGTATAATGCTATCTTGTGACACCTACTGACACCTAATCTGCCCGTTTTTGGCCATATTCGCCTTTAGACACGTAGGAGTAAAACAACCCCTTTTTGGGTTGCACATAGAACAGCGTCGCCAAAGACTATTTACCTCTTACCGATGGACCGGCACTTCACGCACCTTCCATGCTATAGGATTATAGTCCGTTTGATGTAAGCCCTTTCACAGTGACTCGGCTAGCTTCTCGTTTTAGCGTGCCTATTTTTCTATTCTTCGCCGAGCCTGGACTAGGTGTTGTCCCACTTAATAAAGAAACATGCTACCTAGCCATTCGTTTTTGATCACCTATGCATTCGCATATAGTGATACTTTCCCTATCCTTGTCTGGGTTTGCTTCATGTACCGTTGTCTCTTCTTGTCCTAACTAAACTTTATGAAAAATCTAACTTTTCTTTTGAAGGCTCAGTAGAAACTAAATTTGGCCGAAGCGCACCCAGATGAATAATCCAGATTGGATTAGCCCTGTCAAACCCTTCGGAGCACTAATCAGCGCGAAAAAGTGAGTAACGCCGGTAGGTGTAGCAGTGTCGTTGAGTTATTTGTACGACCCTTTGAACGACTCATGCAGCCTGTTCATACAATATGCTTGCTGTACCGGAAAACATTGCTATGGGCCAGAAAGTAGATACTTGAAGTCCAAATGGAAAAATGGCGTGTTTCAACGTCGATAGCTAGGAGACGAATGAGCAGGCAACGATCGAACGAGCAGGACGATGGCGCGGGGAGATGTCAATCAAATAGATAACTAATCGGGAGGTCAAGCAGAGTGCTCTACACGTTCTGAAGACTACGTTGCTACTTAGGCCTGGAAACAGATTTAAAGGGTGAATGAAAAGGTGGAGGAAGCCGGTCCTCCTCTGCCGCGTGAAACGTTCGGAAAATTGATCGAGACATGTGATGTGTCCCATCGACGGCGAGAGGAAATAATTTTAGACTACTGACCATTTATCTATTTAACCTCTTGGAGGGATGGCTGTCTCTGCAGATTGTAGGTGCATTGTAAAGGTATATCGACAGAGCAGGTGACACAATATAATGGATTACCTTTATTAAAACGAAGCAAAGATTATTTTCTCCATTAACGGGAATGAAGCTTAACGATTACCGGAACTGAGCTTCGACAAATGTTCAATGGTACAGTTTACCATACTTTAGAATTCTTACGTGAAAGAGCGAATTGAGTTATTGTGAAGCCAAGACCTACACTGCTGTTTAAGATTTATCCCCACGCACTACACCGAACGAAAGATGGACAGAAACTTGAGGCCGATAGTTGAAAGCTGTTTGCAACAGCTTTTTTCTGACCCGCCACCAACCTTATATGTTGTTAGCAGCTGGAGTACAAGCTATTGTCTCTACATGACAGCGATGAGGAGTTAAAATAGATAGCACTCTATTTAGGCGTCGATGTGCCAAACGGACCACGAAGTAGTGAGTGTTTCTTGACAAAAGACAGTGATGCTCAGACGCGCTTTCAACTTGCGTTTAGTTCTCAAACTCCGCAAGGCATGTACGTTTGTTCTTTCATTTGGACCGTTACAGAAACTTTCCGTGTCTGGACAGAAACAGAGGTGGGGCTGGCAGCTAACTGTCCCACAAGTACAGGCTACGTAGCTCTCAGACTAAAGGCAAACGACGAGGTTCTTAAATGAACGAGGTCGCCTATGAGACGCCACACACAACTTACGCTGAATTTACTGCCACCATCTCATACTCCCTGTTTCGTTTTCCTAAACCTTTATTTCTTCCATTCCCGGTCCAGTTTGTCCCCGACGATGACAGACACAAGAAACATCCATTTCAGTTTTGACATTTCGGCCTGCACGGTCAACCCACCGTGCGGCATTCGCTCTTTCGCGACAAGCAGCGTTACTGCTGTATCGACGTTGCCTCCCAAACACTTATAATGTCCTGTAAGCAGGGGCCCCAATCGACCTTGGGAGATCGTTTTTCCTCCTAAAATTTTCTAATAGAAACGCCGGCCAACGACTGGAAGGGCGCCAAAACGAAGACGAACAAGTCCATGACTTGGGACAAGCCTAAACGACTCGATGCTAAGCCAGACAAGCCGACTGGACTGTGAGAGCCGACGGCTCACGTTTATCAAGTAAAGTTCTTTATTCTTAGGGGATCTGGAGAAGTAAGCTATATGCAGAGAACAGCGACAGAGGAAATCCCGAAAAGGAAAAGTTCAAACGGTTCTGATAATCTGAAAGCCAAAACAAGAATAGGGGGAATAGTGGGCACCATCGGGTTGTACTGACCGAATCTACATCTAAATTTAGCTGTGCGTGTTTGCATCGAAAATTACGCCAGGCATTATGCTGTACCGGATGGGCCGTTCTTATTTGATTCTTTCACAAATGACGTCGCTTTTTAAATATTAGCAAGTAAGTTTTAGGTTTGAGGGGAAGCCTTTGTCTGTGATGTCATCGAAATATGTAACTGCTACTTCTGAAAGTAAGCAAAGCAAGCAAAGAAAATGGCGCAAAAACCAATGCAAATTTCTTGAGGGAAAACGGTAAGACCCAGCCGAAAGTTCTACAATTTTTGTATAGTCAAATATCAAACCTATTTTGTGAATTTTCAAAATACTGGTCGAACGTGGAGCTACTTCTTTTACCAACAGTAAAAAAAGAACAGTGAAATTATGTGAGGTTTAGAATCAGGCAATGCGGAAGGAGTACCGATAGAAGATTTATTTGATTTTTATCAAACAGGTAAATTAATCTATTGGGTTCATCTAATAATGTGGTACATTTTTTAATCCATATTTTATTCATATTGTGGCGAGTTCTTAGGAAATTCTGGCGATAAAGTTGAAGTGCTGCTATAGCGAGCTTGCCAGCTTTGTCTTAGAAACTCAATAAGTTACCCAAATCTCAACGAATCGCTGTGTTAAAAAATACCTCAGTCTATTTCCATCTGCTTATGTTTCTACAAACTTATAGTGGGATTTATCAAGGTTATGCTGAAATTTCCAAATTCAAGTTAACAGTGTCCAAGGAAATAATGGAGTAGTAAAAGTTCGGATGGAACAAAGTGTCAAACAGGCCCTTTTAATAATAACAACGAAAAGGTAAGCCAAATTTGCTTAATGTTACTGCTGAAAACAACCTCTAGCACGAAAAAAAACGATCCCAATACATTCGTCAAAGATCTAGTTTCATTAATAATTGTTCTTAATGAATTCCGGTTTATGATCATGATTACTCGCAATATGGTGGTATCGCCTTCTAACGATCCTCTTAGGGAGCCGTCAAAGTGTCGTCTAACAGAAACATAATCCTTACAACGTGTATAAAACGTCGATGCCTTGGCTTAACTTGACA